TAGGTAGCAAGGGGGAAGTGGATGCAGGGGGTAGGGGACCAGGTTGGTCTGAAATACGGAAGAGGTGGGGGGTGATTATAATATACAGAAAAGCACAGAGTGGGGGAGGGGAGAGACAGAAAAGACGCTATAATTCACAGACATTTCAGTTGATACTACTTGTAATTGTGATAACATTGTGTTTACAGACCAGGAAACAGGACAGAAAGACAGCTTTGGGACGCATAATTTAATGAAAGTTGCTGAAAAGCCGGCTCTACGAGGTCCGGAAAGAATTCACCTACTTACATTACAAGCCTTGGCAGTCTGGCTGGTAATGGTATGGAAAAAGGCCTTCCTGCGAATGCTCCATAAATTGGCAGACCCCGCTTTGATGCGCCCAGTGTCTAGTGTAGTGTTACAAATTTCCAGCAGTTATTGAGAAATTTTTAACCTGCGTGAAGAAAGTCGTTCAAATACCACGCTCAAACTTCATGACTGTTAAAATAAGATATAATCGCCATCTGCGTTAAAAAAAATAAAAATTAATGAAGTCCTTTAAAAGTCCCCACATAACCTTTATTTGTTAACAGTCAAAAAGTAAAGTTGTTCCCGCATCCTATCCGGACATTGGGGATTGCCTCGTTAGTGAGACAACTTCCTGGGCCTTTGACATATTGTGGTAGGGTGGCCAGTTCCTTTCCCCGCCGCCTTTACTTCCCCAACTCGAAGTCAGGTACCCGTTACTGCGGGCTGGGGAGGAAGGGGAAAAAATCCGTGTCCGAACCGAGGCTCGAACCCGGACTTTCCTCTGCGGAGATGAGCGCTCTAACCATTCCGCCACCGCACCCTCTGTTAATAGTACAGCATTTTAACCCTATCTGTACGTCATGTTTTACTATCGTATCCATACGACGTGGGGAACTCTGTGACACTTCTTTCAAAGAGGAAATTTACTCGTTAATCCAATCCGTACACTTTGGATAGCATTCTGTCAAAATGATTTTTTGAGAAATACTGAAAGTTTCAAAGAGATTTCGTACTAGGAGCAGAAGTATTCTAAAATATGAAAAATACAACTCAGGGGGTAAAAAATGACCCCAGGGCATACGGATAGGGTTAACAGTCCCCAGATAACCTTTATTTGTTCACAGTTCAGCATTGTAATCAACTACACGTCAAATGGTTGCTCAATCTATGCACCTGAAACTCCGTCAGATCCACGTTCAGGGCTCCGTCAAATCGAAGAGACGCTGTGATAGAGGACACAATCTGGCCAATCAGACGGTTGAGATTGGTGTAAGTAGGTCGTCCAATGTCCAGGTTCCGGCGGCAGATGTCGTAGATGGCCTCGTTGTCCACCATGAAGGCACAGTCTGAGTGCTCCAGGGTGGTGTGGGTGGTCAGGATTGAGTTGTACGGCTCTACTACAGCTGTTGACACCTGGGGAGAGAGAGAGAGAGAGAGA